TATTCGATGCGAATTAGCTGTTCTGGTCACGACTTCTCACTAGCGGGATCGTGGATGCGCACTGCTGAGGAGTCCCACAATAGGATGAAACGGCCATCCAGTGCTTCCAGGTTTTTAATGAGGATCTAACATCAATTGGTTCATGATCTCAATCAAAGACTTAATAATCTCCACAACTCTATGCTGATAATATTTAAATTATCATACTTCGTCTAGAATCTTCAGTGCTAATTTATCTGAGAATGACTGCTTGATTTCCTTATCAATAAAGTTGAGTTTCCCCAAAGAACCATCTCATATGCTAAAGAGATTCGAAATTATATGTGAAATATCGGTCCGTCATTTTCATTTAGAGAATCTGAGGGAAGTTTCAATATGAATCGTATAAGTTTGAGATTACAGTATCAATGTTTCACATCATCTATTACCATCTCTAACGCACATCCTAACTTCGATAATAAACTCTCATTTCTGATAAATTACCATGAAATAATTGACACAATTGTTGATCTCAAATTATTGCATCATTCTTCTAATTGGGGATTATGATCTTATGATTGACGTACGTAAGTAAAACTTGTATTGAGTAAAAAATTTTACTGAAGAATAGACTTCTCACAACACATAAGGATATATTACATACAAATAATTATAAGTCTAGGAATTCTAGTTCCATATCACAGATACAAAAAAAAATCAACATTAGAAACTTTTCAATAACTTGGAAAATAACTTTAAGTTACTTATAAGTAGACAGTATAGTAGTTTGAAATGTAATTAGTCAGTCAGCAACAACAACGTAGAGCTTCGTTCGTACGTACGTAGATCAGTGCGAGTTGCCATACCATATTAGCACAGAGATACAATTGTCGATTCAAATCCCATAGTGGTAGAGGTATTAAAAATATAAGCAGTAATCATAAAGATTAGGGTTTGAAGATGTTATTCAAGGAGTATAATACAGTGAAATAAATTCGAAAAGAGAGGGACAGGAAGAATTTTGGAGAATACAAAGCGTGGATGCACCTGCGCCATTGCAAACGATTTTGAGCCATGTCACCCAGTCTCCAACCACTCTTTACGATGGTCACGCTGACCCAAACCAATTAGTCTACATTTACCAACATGGCTTGGATCAGAAGTTAGTGACTTTAAGGACTGATGCCATGTTTTGGTTTGACCGCCTCTAACTTTCTTCCATCTGTCTCCAACACTTGTCAGCATTGCGTGTTGTAATCGGTCTTCAGGCATATGTAACACGTGGCCCAACCATCTCAGTCGATGGAGATTCACACCCTCATCAACTGATTTACCATCATTCCCTGATACCCTTACGTCTAACCTCACTATTAGTTACCACTCGGTGATCCCAGCAGATGCGATCAATATTTCTAAGACATCTGTGATCAAACACTAGCAACTTACTGGTATCCTCAACCTTTAATGGTAACGTGTCGCAACAGTAAATTGGAACAGAACGAACTGCTGCACAGTATACTCGTCCTTTTTTTGATAGACGGATATCCCGCCTTCGCTATAGGTGACGTAAGTTGGCAAAAGCCAAACGAACTATCTATGTAGAGATTTCGTCAGACGGTAACCTATTAGGACTGATCAGACTTTTAAGATAAGTGAAGTTGTCGACGCTTTTGACTATTTTACTCCCTATCTTTAGTTCAGGTGTTGACATATGCCAGGGTGATTTTGACCCCTGATATATTGGTACAATCAGTGACTACGACCAGTCAGAAGGAATTGCGTCCAGATCCTAAAGTTTAGCTAAAATACGAGTCAACGTAATCTCCAAACCTGGACCACCATACCTAAAGTTACCTACGAGCACTATGTCTGGGCGTTTAGCTTTTTGAAAAAGTTCAGAAAGTTTTCTGTAAAATTCATCTTTCACTTCATCCGAGCTGCACTCAGTGGGAGCGTAGGCAGACAAGCCGAAGAGGCAACGACACGTCTCTCTCTTTCCGAGTTCTTACAGTCGTTTAACCGACCAGCACATAGGCGACTGTTAACAGGGATCCATTCTAATAGTTCTTGTTCTACCCTCATACTTAGTGCTATGCCTACACCTGCCAGTCCACGAGAATTCGCCGTCGGGTCACCAGATACTCGGAGGGTGTATCTCGTCGGCTGCCCTTTTTGGAGAGGTAAGGTCATGTAGATGACCACACCAGGATCCTGTATGCGTGTTTCGAAGACACAGCATACATCAATGGTACGAGATTCTACAGTTTTAGCCAAGGAAGCCTGCTCGTCGATCTTACACAGGATGAGTATGTTGAAGGCTCCAATGTGTAGTTTTCAGTATACCTGGTACAGTGTTTTGCGCACTAGAATCGTTGGCGATGGTGACATTTGAGGAGGAAGTTTATAGTTGAAAGTCGAAGTGGAAGGAATAACAGGAATTGAAGAGGGGAATTGATTATGAATACAGTGGTCTTGAGTATTGTTAGAGATATGAGGGCGATTATCACTTCCTAATGGCTCACGCTGTGAAAGTTTCCTTCTAAAGGTACCTGAAAATAAAATTGGATTGGAGTTGGTCTTAGTGACCTGAGAGAGTGATCGCAGTGCCCAAGGGATAACTGCTTGACGTTGGTCACACACCTTTTTTTAGGTAATTATTGTTTTATCTCCTTAATTGTTGGGACCTTACCTCCGGAGACGAATATCCGTGAGATAAGGCGAGGTGTGCATTGTTAGGGTCGACTTTTTTTTCTATGGAAAGGGGGCATCGGTGTTATACTGGTTGTCTGAAGGAAACACCTTAGTGCCGTCACACATCTATACAATCAGCAGTACGACTTCGCCGTCGGACCTTGGATTTGCTTCTTTTAGTCTTACCGTTGTTTAACCAACCTGTCTGGCGTGATAGTATCTTGAGGTACGACTTTTCCAGCCAGTATATCCCGATTGGTTCATCACGATAGGAAAGCCCAACCACCACGTCAAGATAACATCTATAGTCGAGTTTTGAACGAATTACTTGTGATTATTCTTTGGTCACAATTAATAATAGAGTCCGAACTCGTTTATATTTTAAATATTCCATCAATTATTGGACAAATAACAGCTTTTGAACTGTTCACCTTTATCTTCAATGTGCTGGGCACAACTGTAACCCATAACATGGACAGTATGCTTATCAGTAGCCTCAGTTATTATCGCCTTAAAAGATTCAAAATTTTGTCATATGATGTTATTGATATTTTAACAGATAAGTAAAACCACTACATAGATTTAACAATTAAACTATAACAAGTATTCTATGATTAAATCTATTGTATGTATACAAACAAAGTAAATAACTGTCTGATTCCAACGTCAAGCATCTTAATTAATAATGAGTCTTATGTGACTACCGCTAACTTCTCATGAAGTGCTTTCGTAAACTGTTTATAGCCTATGAACATAGAAAAAGAAACGCGTTCAAATACAATTTTGAAAGGTTTGATAGGCGAATAAATGATCAAAAATTTTCAATTGAAAGTAATTAGTCGCGTTAATCCGTTTGAAAAGAACAGCGTCGATGTATTTTACCAGTATACTATTTCAGTACAACATCAAACAAGTACGTCTGATAAGTCCATCACAGCTGATGACGTATCTTGAATATTAAAAAGTACATGTAAGTTTATTTTAACTGTCACCACACTAGTTGCCAGATTTGTCCACATCTAATTTGATAATGACCTTATGACAGACTAATCTAAAATTGTCATGTTGTTAGCTTGGTATTCTACCTGTTCTATCAATATATATTGACAACCATACGAGTGTGAGAGGTTCACTATCTAAGTTATATTCTTTCTCCCAAAAAATTTAACTATCGAAATAAGCAGAAAATTTTGTCATTAAACTTCGCAACTGAATTAACAAGACCTTACAAACAATGACTGTCTCTGTGCTAACCCTATTCGACGCCAATGATTAATTGCATATACTTTATTAGATTGATCCAATTGAGTGACAAAGTTTACTTGACAACTCCATACAAGAAGTTGGATACGAGGTATATTAATGGTGGTTATATTATCAAGCATACAGATTTAGGAGATCAAACCATTGGAGTGGATAAATGAACGGAGTGAGTCTTAAATCAGTCCAGTCAACAAGTTCACGGAAGTGTAACGCTGCCATAAATGTATATCTCAACTTCCTACTTATTTGCAACAGTTCGTGTAAGTTCAGTTAATTTGATGACAGCTTTCGTTATAAATGAACATCAACTAGGAACTATCATTTGACTTAGCCTGAGTCAAAACCGTGCAGTTCTTCACTTTTTATTTAATTTTATCAGCGAAATACTTCAAGGGGGTAACACGTTCTTTGTCTAAAATTTCAAGGATTTACCTCCTACCTAGAAATTTAATTATCAACTTACAATAAGCATTTGTTTGAAACCAAGAACCGATCTAAATTAGACTACTATTAGAAAGCTGGAAGCACCGGACAACCGTTTTATCTAAGTACGAAAGTACACAGTAGTGCATATCTACAACCCTCTATAAATAGATGTGTCTTATTTGATGTAAATGACAAAACCCGTTTTGTACATCTTGAATAATAAATATATTCGAAACGGGTTTATAAATCTTATTTTAGTACTGATCTATCCAAAATCTTAGGCAAACCATACAGAGTAAAATAAGTATGCGTGTTGGCTCTCCACCTGTCGTAGAAATCTCACTGGTATAAGTGAGTTCACCTTCCACCTGTCAAACCGTAAGTACACTGTATCAACAATTTGCTTTGCATTACTTTAATGTTTTTCGACGATATGTTAGCTCCAAAGTTGTTTTTGACTGACTGATATTAAATCACTAGATTCAATTGATTAAAGAGTTTAGATTGACAATAAACGACAGAAAATGAATGTAGTGATGTTAGATTACACTCGGAATATATCGATACTAATGTCACCACCCACAGAACAGGTACTATCGCTTATTATCTCAACTTTTTAACGAATAAAACACACAAGAATTCCATGAAACAGAATCTAGTTTTATTGATAAAAAGAATGGATCCAACTATTGTAAAACAAAGTAGGAAATATACATAGTAACCAAATAAATTAGAAGAAATAAATCTCTTGAAAATATTAAATGGTATTTGAGGAAAGAGGAGGAAACTTGAGAAAACTATCAGTTTGATGTGAATGCGCGCTCATATATTACAAAGAAGAAACATACAATGAATAGGATTATGATTGATTCATATCAGCATTCGTAACAAAGGGATTGATGTCTTCTACAGGTTTCGATGGAATAGTAATCATATTTTTCGAACGTATTGGTACACGATCAATGTGATTACGATTGAAATGAAATGCTGGAACTACCCATGTGCCGCATACACATGGTTCGCCTAAATAAATCAATGAAAATAAAGTATCGTTTTGAATATATACACATCGTGAAAAACATGGTATATTCATGTAGTACACCTTTTAAACAATTTGATTACATCTTCTGTTGTAATGGTATCACATGTGAAAACGACGACATCAAATTGTTAGGTTTGGTTAAACTTGAATGCTACTACTGATTTGTTTTACTTGGAACGGAACGAATTATCAAGGATTCAGAGACTCGATAGGCTATTCTGGTCCGTTGTCCCCGACTTAGCTAACTCGATCAAGAAGTCTCGGTAAGACGTAGAAAGTGTATTCTACAGGCAACCAGCATATATCAGGTCAATCACACACAAAAATCAAGCGTATTTATACAAATATATATATATATATATATATATATATATATATATATATATATATATATCGATATTGCCATGGAGCTTCTAAACATTTAATCGATAAGTTCGTCAATCGACTATGTGCGTGGGTGGTAAGAAATGCCTAAGCATACATCGGCATACAAGCTCCACAAAGATAAAATTACAAAATGAGTTTTTGGGAATATTGTCCCCAACACAAATAGGTTTGAAAAGTGGAAACTACAGTACATTCATTCAGTTAATAAACAATGGGTTAAAGACTTAGGCAGGTTTATTGATGAAAACAAATTATTTTCCCATACATAAAAGGCGTCCGAGTTTCATGGGGGTTAAGGTTTTTATAAATTTAACAGTTAGCCTCTTACATATTGTGTAAAGAAATTATGGAGCATGCCTCGAATTAATCTTTATGAACAACAAATTCGAGAAAATCACGGTTTCGGATATGGATTCGGGTATTTTGATCAAGTATTCAACTTCTCTATGAGATTGTAGAATAAAGGTCTAATTTCTGACATCTAACAATCCTGACATTTCCCCACGTGAAGGTGGTATCTGATTCCATCGACTGAGAAGTTGTGTAGCAAGCTTTCTGACTAAAAGGTTGGCTAAAGAAATATATAAATTTTGTGAAAGCTATTTACTTGAACATTATTGATCGAGTTACAGCTCATTACGAGCTATCATCCAAATCGGTAAAATTATATGGTGTTCTTCAAGACACAATTAAGTTCATATTTATGAAACTTCTGGTGTAGGAGTAGGTTGGAAGAAAGTTAGGGGCGGCCAAACCAAAACATGGCACAAATCTATGAAGTCACTGACAAGTGGACTGAGTCATGTTGGTAGGTGTAGACTACCTGGTTGGGGACCGCGAGACGATAGCAACCGATGGTTAGAGACCTTGAATGACATGGCTCAAAATCGTTTGCAATGGCGCAGGTGCATCCACTCTTTGTGTTCTCTCAAACTCGAATCTTCTGAATTTTTCATGTCCTTTATTTTCTTTCCAAATCTATTCCACTGGACTATACTCCTTAAATAACATCATCAAACCTTAATGTTCCCTGTCACTACTTATACTTTCAGTACCTCTACCACTATGGGATTTGAATCGATAACTGAATCTCTGTGCTAATGTGGTATGGCAACTCGAACTGATGTACGTACGTATGAAGTTCCACGTTGTTACTGACTGACTCTGCAAAGACATTATTTTAGTAATAATACATTATATCGACTTGCAATACGCAGACGATATCAATCTGATAGGAAAAGACCCAGACAAACTCAGGTCTTCTGATAGTTCAAACAATGCAAGTTGTTTAGGATAAGTTCCTCTCCTGGTAAATTCGAACTTCTGCTTAGAACTAATCTAAGTCAGAGCGTAGAATAATCGTGAGGGGTGAAGTAGTCTAGCGATGACTACTTTACTAACCTTGAAAGTCTAAGCAACCCTAACAGGTTAACATCCGATGCAATCTGAGCACGGATTCAAAAAGTTCCCCGTGGATTTTAACAACCTACGTCATGTTTGACGTGACCAGGATGATCGGCTGGAAAATAAGGAGAGAGCATAATGCACAATAATCCACTCTAGAATACTATATGGCTGATAAGTATGGTTTATGGAAATAGAACAGATGCGTATACGACAGGCTTTTAACTATAAATGTCTTCTACTCATTACCTCAGTATCGCAGAAAAACCGAGTAAATAATACTGGTGTCAAGTTCACAGTACTGAACGAATGTAGCAAATCTTTTGCTCAGGTTATGGATGTCCATCAACTGAGATGACTGGAATATGCTACGTACACCAAATGTTACCTAGTTCATTAAAAGATGTTGGCTGGAGTAATCGAAGATTGGAAGTTATGGCTGCCAAACCAAGAGGTAATATCAGTCCATGAAATTCAGTGAGTCAGTCAGATGCAACGTAGGACCAGGCACATATATGCATCGGTCCAAGTTGCCACACCTCATTAGCACAACAAGATGAACACTAAGTTCATAGAAGTAGTTACTTAAATGGTAGTAATATATAAAAGAATGCATATAAGGAGATAGTACAGGAATAAAGAATTAGTTCGTAGACAGAAAGATATGAAGCGATTTTAATCTCTTAGTTTAAAGGAAAATAGAGTGTGTACACCGACGCCATAAAGATAGTGGCACAAGGAGACACCAAATACATATGCGCCACACAGATATCAATTGATGTGTGTGAGGGCTGATACTGCCCAGGTGCCTAAACCGAAGCAGGTGGTTTTCTTAGGGAGCCACACCAGGAGCCTTCGACCTGAAGATATGATCCACAAGGCAGTGGAGCATCGTAAGGAGATGCAGTCCCATGGTAGCCGGTGACTAACAATTGGTTCATACGCCATTTGTTCCTTCAGGATACTGGGGCCCATGTGCACCATTGGTTTGGAATCAGGGTTTTCCAACCCCCCTAGGTGGACTCTCCGTGTCCACCAACCGTTAACCTGTTAATAAACGCCTCAGGCGCGCCCTTCTTCAATATATATATACGTTAAACTCGCTATTTACACCTATGCGTTATGTTAACTGAAGCATAATGAGGTTGGAAAGAAGATAAGCGTTCCCAAACCAGGACATTACATCAAATTTTGGGGTTATTCGCTGCTGTTTGGAGATACCCATGGAAGTGTGAACTTCCTGAGGTGAGAGCTTTGGATAACAGAAATCGAATGGTCCAGAACTCGGTATCCGGAACAGCCATCTACTATTTTCTTTAAAATGTTGAAAACTTTTTGAGTTTTTTCGCTTTAGCTTTACAAATGTCTTTAATCTATTTGAATTTCTTTCATACTCCTAAGCTGTTAACAAATATAGTTTCTCCGACCGATCCACTTTTGTGCAATATTTGTTATCACAAGGGTAATGACATCAGACATTAGTAATAAAGTTCGTTCGAATTGATGGTAAATAACTTTCCGGTTTAACTATTTTCAGCTACTTTTTAACATACCACTGAATCGGTAAATACTGAAAATCATAATGACAAACAAATTCCCAGACACTTCAGCTAGTACAAGCTAGTCACATCACCCACTTATTTATTTATTTAAACACATGAACATTGGTACAAGGAGGCACCAGACAGATATGCGCCACATAAATCGCCCGCCGTCGGACTAACATGTTTTTCCCAGGTACCACTACAACTTCCTGCTTAGCTCCAATTGCTATCAGTAAACACACCCCAAATATGTGAAAAACAAACACTAAAATAATTTATTAGTTCTCCCAGTTAAATTAATAAATTTTATTAGTAACAACAAGCTTACCACACCAATTGAAAGAGCCAACTTTAGCGTTGCATCCAGGACAATAAAGCTAAAATATGAAAAAGAAATGCATAAAAGTATATAAATTCGGCTTTCTGTCAGTGTTTGTAAGAATAGTGTTTATGACACTATTCAGCTGCCAGAATCGAGGGAAATGGTGAGATTTGAACAAGCGAAATACAGCTCCACTAAAATGTATGAACCCCTTATTATAGGTTGCACATTACCCCGACTAAGTTTATTAAAAGAACTAACAAAGATAAGGCGAAATGGGTTGAAGAACTGATACTATTGGATAGTATCTAACAGTGAGGATTAGCCAGATTCATTGAGTCTGGCAAAATATAATACCAAAAAATGCACACACTATTGGACTAGGAATTTTATTTAATGGACCAAACAACACAATTCAGCAACCAGTCAGTCAGCAGTGGTCTTGAGTGCTGTTAGAGGTATGAGGGCGCTTATCAATTCCCGGTTGCCCACACCGTGGAAGGGTTCTTCTGGAGGTACCTGAAAAGGAAATTGAATTAGAGGAGGTCTCAGTGACCTGACAGTGTGACCGCAGTGCCCGAGGGACAACTGCTTGGGGTCGGTCACACACGACATTCTGTAAGTAATTTTCATGTTAGCTCCATAGTTTTTGAAACCTTACCGCCAGAGACGAATATCCGTGAGGTAAGGCGAGGTGTGCATTTTTAGAGTAGACCATTTCTAACTCTACCCCTCTTTGTGGGAAGGCAGCATCGCTGTCATGATGGTCGTGTGAAGGAAACACCTTAATGCCGTCACACCTTGTACAATCAACAGTACTACTTCACACTCAGTCAGTCAGTCAGTCAGTAACAACATGGAACTTCATACGTACGTACATCAGTTCGAGTTGCCATACCACATTAGCACAGAGATTCAGTTATCGATTCAAATCCCATAGTGGTAGAGGTACTGAAAGTATAAGTAGTGACAGGGAACATTAAGGTTTGATGATGTTATTTAAGGAGTATAGTCCAGTGGAATAGATTTGGAAAGAAAATAAAGGACATGAAAAATTCAGAAGATTCGAGTTTGAGAGAACACAAAGAGTGGATGCACCTGCGCCATTGCAAACGATTTTGAGCCATGTCATTCAAGGTCTCTAACCATCGGTTGCTATCGTCTCGCGGTCCCCAACCAGGTAGTCTACACCTACCAACATGACTCAGTCCACTTGTCAGTGACTTCATAGATTTGTGCCATGTTTTGGTTTGGCCGCCCCTAACATTCTTCCAACCTACTCCTACACCATAAAACATAGCACGTCGTGGCAGTCGGTGGTCGGGCATGCGCAGCACATGTCCCAGCCATCTCAACTGATTAAGTTTCCCTACTTCCTCAATTGATTTGCCATCCTTACCTAGTACTCGTTTCATAACAAATGCATTACTTACTCGGTGGTCCCAGGATATACGAGCGATGTTTCGAAGACACCTATGGTCAAATACTAGTAACCTACGAATATCCTCTACTCTTACTGGCCATGTTTCACTGTCATAAAGTAGGACGGAACGAACTGATGTACAGTAAACACGTCCTTTGGTTGATAGACGGATATCTCGCCTACGCCACAAATGACGCAAGTTGGCAAAAACTAGTCGAGCCTTCTGTATCCGTGCTGAGATTTCGTCACACACCAAACCACAAGGGCTGATGAGACTTCCGAGATAAGTGAAGCGGTCGACACGCTCAACTACTTCGCTCCCTATCACTAGTTCGGGTGCCGATGCAACCCAATCCTGAAGCATTATTTTGCCTTTCGAGGTAGAGAATTGCATGCCGAACATGTCTGCATTGTTGCTTAGAGTGGTCAGCAGACTCTGCATTCTGTCAGCGTCTTCACCAAATAGAACTATGTCATCGGCATATTCTGAGTCAACAAGTGGATCTCCCGGTAGAAGTTCAACTCCTGGAAATTTAGATGAGGAAAGTGTCATCTCTAAAAGGACGTCAACGACAAAGTTAAACAAGAATGGAGAGAGTGGACAGCCCTGACGAACACCACTTGAGGTAATCAATTCTGATGACAGTTCACACTCAGACCTTGGGTTTGCTGCTTTTAGTCTTACCGCTCTTCAACCAACCTGTCTGGCATGGTAGGACCTTGAGGAACGATTGTCTCAGCAAGTATAGTTCAATTGGTTCATCACGATAGGCAAGCCCGACTACCAGGTCAAGGTAGCAACAACGGTGGGCAGAGGCTTAGACTTGGACTACGGTCTAATTCGAGCACGTATCTGTCTACGTCTTACTGAATGCAGAAAAGCCACTGCAAAAATACCTCCTACAGTCCAACTCAATTCCAAAAAAGTTAACAATACGTTTCAGGAACAACTAGAGAAGGAGCTAGTCAACCGTGAAAATTATATCCAACACGATGTAACTTGGCATGATATCCAAAAAGCTATGGAAACAGCAGTGATATCTACTAGTTACTGGATCCAAAAGTTAAGAAAATCTATGGATTTCAGCAGCATCTACGGAACTGACAGATACTCGGAAACTCATCCCGTCTGGCTTCAAATACGATGAGGAATGGAGGCAGCTTAAACGTTGCTTGATAAAAAGCCTACTCAATGATCGTGAGCAGTGGTAAGTTGTGAAAACAGAAGGGATGGGAAAGGCAGCTGTGATAAGTAACAGTGATCAACTGCTCAGACTTATCAAGGAAACGGGTAGTAAAAATACAGCTGTTAGTGAAACTATCTCAGTAAAAGATGAGACTAATATTCACTGTCAATCCTGGAGATCGGACTGATAGGCAGAACACTTTAGGGAACAGTTCAACTGGTCTCCAACCACACTTCACTCGCTTACTATACCAAAGAGAGCTGAATGGCAAATAGACGTATGTCCTACAACTCTTAGTGACGTTGACAAGGCTATAGGCAATCTAAAGCAAAAGAGAGTAGCAGGACCTGATGGACTAACTCTTAGATTTCTAAGGACGATGGCACAGTTTTAGCAGTTAGATTAACTAAGATCTTAGCTAAAATCTGGGAATTGGACGTAATTCAATATGACCGCTCTATAAGAAAGAACAAAAGTCGTCTTATGGTAATCACAGAGCAAACAGTTTAAATAATTCAGTGTTTAAAATAGTCTCTACAATACATCCACATCTAACTAGAACTCTTCAAAAGCAAACCTGAGCAAACTAGGCTAGTTTAACTGTCATAGATATGCCTTTAGAAATAATATTATCATCGTTTGACTATTCAGGGTAAGTATGCTGTAGATATGAGGGCTAGTGATACTAGTCAATCACTACTCCACTCTACAGTTTTCAGTCCCTACTCGTCAAAATTTAACTAGTACTTGGTTCATCCATAGTCCAGTTAGAGTAAAGTAGAGATATGCGAATAGACAAACGTTTTTATTACATGACGTACGGCTGGAGTTGGTTCAAAGTATAAATACTCTGGAGGAATAACAAACAAACTAATGTTAAAACTAGTGATTTACAAAACTTCATATTCCTAAACAGCGAAATAATGGGATTGCATACCTTTCCTTGAACATCACTAGTACTGTGCAACGTCCATTCCAATGGGTCACAGAACAATTCATTTTTATCACATTGTAAAGGAGAGTTATTTAATGAAACACCTTTGATTAAGACACTAGATACGTTATCAGTGTTCTTGGATTTTGTAGAATTTATGAGAGAATTAGGTGTTGTCTCCGGTTTCTGATGAATGCGTAACTGATTTGAATTGAATAACACTTGTCTACAAGGATTAATTTATATTTTGAAAAAAATTGTATTTATTTTTTTAAAAGGATAGAAACCTGCATTTTTTACATCTAAAACTTGAAGGTGTAGTGTACAATTGGTAGACTGTTTGATTTTCTAAAAGATCACCATTATAATCTATTAAAAAGAGGGATTAAAAATAGCACTTATAAAAAGCAAACCCGTAAAAACGGAGAAGGTTCTTTTCGTTATATATTGTTGAAATAATGGAGAATCACGGTTGACAGTCCAATTCATAGTATGAAACAACTTTAACTGATTAATAAATCCATTATTGGGACTAAATATTAATAGAAATTAACCATAAAATATTCAATCATTAAAACCGTAATTACAAAATACTCCGTTTTCTTGAAACAATATTATAAGCCTCTTCATAGGATAAATGATTTCGACGCATAAGATAGGCGACAACAACACTGGCGCTGCGAGATACACCCATAGCACTATATTCCGTTCGCCCGTTTTTAATTTAAAAAAACTAGACCACTATGTATTTATTCCGCTTACCAGTGAACCAAAATATTTGAGTTATTTTTTATACTTTCATCAATAAAGCTTAAAGCATCTTCAAGAATTTCCAACAAATCCTGGGATGGCTCGTCGCGCAGATATAAGAACTTCATGTTAAATCCTTTGAATACATTGCAGTCTAATGGCAGGATATCTAATGTTAAAATTGACATTATTCCATTTCTTTTTAAGACTGAAATATTTTCTGCAAATGGCATAGGTCCAAGCCATAGACCTGGGATAATCTCATCCATATTTATTATCAATCACTAAAAAAAGACCACAACGAGTACAAAAGATGATCTGGAATTCAACAGAATCTAGGAAATTCAGAAATCATTTATTATGCATACGTTAGAGCGAAAAAAAATCTGACCGTGTAGTCAATTTGATTACCCTCAAACGCCCTGGTACGGCCGAAAGTGTGGTATGCCCGCCCTCCCTCTCGAAAGCTCTCACATGGCCACGCGTATACAGCCACTGCCAGGGAAGTCCTACTCACTGCACTACCTTCTCGTGGCATTACTGTTGTTTATGAAAATGAGAGGACGAAAAGCGAATGTCCGGCACTATAACCGGATCCCAAACCAATGTCATGGGCCCCAGTATCCTGAAGGAACAAATGGCGTATGAACCAATCGTTGGTCACCGGCTACCATGGGACTGCATCTCCTTACGATGCTCCACTGCCTTGTGGATCATATCTTCAGGTCGAAGGCTCGGGGTGTGGCCCCCTAAGAAAACCACCTGCTTCGGTTTGGGCACCCGGACAGTATCACAGCCCTCACACAAATCAATTGCGATTCATGTGGCGCATATGTATTTGGTGCCTCCTTGTACCAATATCTGTGTTAAAATAATAATAATAATCAGTTTGATTACTAACACTAACCATATCATGGATTGATCTGAATTATTATTCTGATTACGATTATGGTCTGAATGATGCACTACTACACTTAAGTTTAAATTTAAGCAAATTATAGCTCTCACAAGTCATTCGAAAGCTAGTTATTAAAATTTTGAAGCCTCGGTGTACCTGAAGTAGAAGATATGATTTTAAATAAATAACCTCCGAAAATTACTCACTTTTGATGGAGGCATTTTAAGGACTCAGGGGCATCAGTACAAGAGGCATGGACTCATTCCCAGCAGTTGTACAATCAAGTAACAACCATTTATACCCTGAACAGTCCCCAAAAAGAAGCACAGCCATCCCTGGACAGACCGGGATATTCGACGTTTACTAAGACAAAAGGAAGAAATTTTGGAACATCGCCACCATCCTTGACACAGCAAGTACGGTGGAAAGCTACAAGTTGGTACGAAATACATGTATAATTACAGTCCGTGAAGCTCATACATAAAACCGTGCCAAGACAACTTCCATCAAACTACAGACCTGTCAGCCTCACCAGTGCCATAGTTAAAATATTAGAAAGAATAGTCAACAAGACCATAATGATATTCGTCGAAACCAACAACTTGATAAACAGTGAGCAACACAATTTCAGAAAAGTTTTATCTTGCATAACAAACCTCCTCACAGCAAGGGAGCAATGGATAGAGGCTCTAAACAATAGAAAATCAGTGGGTGTAGTCTACATAGACTTCAGTAAAGCGTTTGACAAGATGCCACCAAATAGTTCTTGAAGCTGAAAAATCTAGGCACTGTCGGAATTCATCTAAAATGACTTATGGATTTCTTGGTAGATCGTAGACAGTAAGAATAAATTTCAAGTGTTCCACCTGGAAAACAGTGCTCAGTTGAGTACCGCAAGGCTGTCCTATGTCCTTTAATTTTTATACGGTACGTAAATGAACTGCCAAATATAGTTGGGTCCCCAATGCTGCTATACGCCGATGCAAAAATCTGGCGAGAAATAACAGGAAACGCAGATGTATGGGCACTTCAGGCAGGCTTAGATATTCTGATTAGCTGGTCTAAAAATGGCTGGTGCGGCCAAGTGTGTCTACATGCACTTTGGGGATACAGTGGTAAATAGGTACAGCATAGAAGTGCCCATACTCGTGGTCCGATCTCACAAGGATCTTGGGGTGACAGTGATTTATGGTCTTAAAACCACGGCCCACTGCCGCGATATTGCAGCTAAAAAGTTTAGAACCCTCGGGACTTTAAGACGGACATTCACCAAGTTAGATACTACTATGTTCACTACAGTATAAAAAACCTTAATGAGAACTAAGCTTCAAAACTGCATTGGGGCCGCAAACCCGTTTAAAAGGTGACTCGAATATTCCGGAGAAAGTACAGACGGCAGCTACCCGTCCAATTCCAGAACTCCGCGGGTTACCATACAAAGAGAGGCTTGAACAGCTGGACCTCTTTACTCTGTCCTATAGCAGATTAAGAGGTGATCTGATTTTAAAGTGTAGAATACCAAAAGATGATTTCCGACCTGATATACTCTCTCTTTTTCTTCCCACTAGATCGGGACATCTCAGAGGACATAGCAAGCGAGTAGAAACTCCAAGAACGAACAAAATACCCGTGGTATACAGGTTTTTACACCAAGTCATCAATACTTGGAACCTGCTGCCCGAAGCAGTGGTGTCCGCACCTTTAATCGACTCTTTCGAGAGAAGACTAGACACTCACAGAAACATACTAGAAAATGAAAAAACATATGCCGTAAGCCTTCTGTCCTTACTACACAAATAGAAATCTAAAAAACGGAAACCTACTGTGAGTTTATTAGATCTAGATTTTCGGATCTTCGTGCTATGGCATCGAAGATTATTAGTGCTGAAGAGTGCACAAAGCTGAGATATATTAACACTAAAATCGTTATTAAACATACAGAATGCACATATCAAGCCACCCGGGCAGTATGAGAGCCCTCACACAAATCAAATGAGATTTGTGTGGCGAATATGTATCTGGTGTCCCTTTGTACCAGTATTTATGTGTTCAACATGTTTGAAGCGACCGTCGTGAAGGAGTTCGGAAAGATCCCTCACTAACCTTATTTTCAAGCGCCGAACAAGATCAAGCGAGTCGGTATCTTTAATAAGAAATGAACCAGATGTTTGGGTACAGTACTCAAATTATGATCTTACACAAGTGGTATATAAAATTCGAAACATCTCATCAGAGCACTTGACTGCTTGGCGAAGTAACCACAGCGCTCCGAAACCCTTATCAGATGCTGCGTTGCAATGCGTAATTGTTCTAAATTCATGACTTACTATTACTCCTAAGTCTTGGTGTTCCCGCACGCAGGGAAGAGATGTCCTGTCGATAGTTTACTGGTATCTCTAACCATATCCGATGTGCGTCGACACTTTCTGGAATTGATTTCCAGGCCTCAACTGTGGGGCAGTGGTCCTTATTAATAATACATCACCTGTTTCTTCTTTTGCAGATCTTTTCAAATAACAATGAATTGGCAATTACGATAAAAATGCATAACGACTGATGCTCAAGCTTCTGCCATAATGTTGTATAATAATACGCTTTTTATTTTCAATAAATGCATTTAAATATATACCATTTTTCATGTGGATTGCAGTTTCAGTGCGGCGTGTTGTGGGAATAGAGGCGGACATAGGAGACCTTTGGGATTATGCGAAAGTAGACAAATTCGGCGTATATTTAGGCGAAAAATAGTGAATTCAGCGTATATTTAGGCGATAAGTAGACAATTCGGCGTATATTTCGGTGAAAAGTGAACAATTCAGCAACATTTGAGACAGGGCGATAAAAATGGGGAAATCCGTATTATTTTCCTCAGACAGGCGAAAAAGTAGACATTTTGGCGAATTAGTTAGGTCCCAATCAACCAACAAAGGGGAAATGAAGGGGAAAATGCGTCGAAAAATAAAGGGGAAACGCGCCAAAATGTCTGCTTTTCCGCCTGTCCGGGATAAATAATACGGATTCCTGCTTTTTTGTCTCTCTGCCTCTTAAATGTCGTTGAATTGTCACGCTCGAGCCACAATTTACCCAGAACTGATAGATTGGGATGCACTAACTAAGCAGGTGACGCGCAGCTACCTTTAACTTGAACCACAGTGCGTTATCATGAAAATAATATTATTGATGAAGAAATTACACAGTATCTTAATATACACCCACATAATACAACAGTTGCGGGACGAAGGCCAGACAAGGTCAAGTGTTAACGATTCAATTTCACTTTCAGTTTTGGCTGAAGGTTGGGTGACCTGAGTTTGTCTTATCAGTGACGGTCTCTCAATTGATTCAACTTCCTTTTTGATCTGTCAACAGATGAGGCTTCAATCACGTTTTGAATTAACGAATTCCATTCGTTGATGATTTGATGGAGAGTCCAAATGGTTCAAATGGTTGTGGATGGAATAAAAGAAGCTTTCGCTTAACGAGCCTCCGTGTCCAGTAGCAGTGGATCACCAATACTTCCGGGCAGGGATCTGGGTATATTGACAACGATAGAGGAGAAAACAGGTAAATCAAATTAAGATACTATTCTTAAGCCTTAAGAATAGGTTAGCAAATTTCAGCATTCTACAACTTTTAAGGAGTAGGAGTTGTGTCTACAGTCCGTTCTGCTGTGTTGTGTCTCCAGTTTCTGGGTTTTATCCCTTAGGTTTGTGTTGGAGCTAAACTTAAGTAGGTGTTTAAGGGGGTGTCCAGAAGTGTTGAGGATACTGTAAATGATTAGTCCACCTCTGAGACGCCTGTACTCCAATGGGCAAGCGTTCAGTGATTGGAGGTGCTCCTCATAAGGCTTGAATTCTAGTCCTCGGACTGGTTGCGTGGCTCGCCGTTGGATACGTTACAGAGTGTCCTTATCTTTTTTGGAGTGAGGAAGGAAATACTGTTTCCGTACTCCAAACGCGGGTGTTCAAAAAAGGGCAGTGATTTTGTACTTGTTGTGATTATCCTTGCTTTTGTGTAATGGTTGCATCAAAAGCATTCTTGGTCTATATTAAAGTACTTTAGTTAAGGTTTTAAATCTTGCTAAGGTTTGTCTTGTGATACCCTCTTCCTCATTGACTGACACTAGTGTTCATATTGTGTTATACACCTTCATCTGACTAAAATGGTTGGTAGTACTCACAAATGTGGACAACCACGTTGTTTGTTCCCTGTGGACGAAGGAATGCAGTGTGATGAATGCAAAAGGTGGTTCCATAAGATGTGCACTCGTTTAAGTCCCACTGCGTACAAAAGATGTTCAAAGCCTAACTCACATTGGCTTTGCATGTTTTGTTGTGCAAATAAGACGTTACTATGAGCCTATTGGCTTCGGCCTGTAAGAAAAACGATAAGGCATGCACTGATAACACGAGCACTGATGGTGACGAATGTGTCAGTGTAGTACCTGCTGCTACAAGACGCCTCAAACACCCGAATTTGATTGACGGAAAAGTGAAATCTCCGTTAACATTAATGAGGGAAGAAGCACCACCTGAAACTGCCATCGGTAACCATGTACCTCTAGTGGAAACTGAAGATCTGAATAAGACCGTCACTGTTCCAAATAGTCCCGGTGTCCTGAGGGATGAAAAATGGACTACAGTACGGAAAAAACGAAGCGAAAAGAAAAAGGCTGTGGGCAGTGCGCAGGTTGTTAGCAAGTCAGTGGTGGACTCTCATTGTGAGTCACAAAACGCACTACCGAAATCTGATAGTAAGAGAGAAAACCACTTAGGTGTGACTGAAAAGAATCTGATATCATCCAATATTATTGTAAGCAAATTACTGGAGTCAAACCACCCTGACCCCAGAATTAGACATGATTTAGAGAAGTTGGGAGAATATATTCGTAGTATCTTACCGGATAACTCTAAAGGAGTCCAGGTCAAAAAGCTGGTAAGAATAGGCAAGAGGACCGAAAACGATGCTGAACCTCAACCATGTAGACTCCTTAAGGTAATCCTAGGATCAGAGAAGCAACGGGACCTCCTGTTAAGTAATGCTCGTTGTCACGACAATTCCAATATTCGAGTTAGACCTGATATGTCTCTCGAAGATAGAATAAAAAGAAAGAAAGCACTAGCTGAACTAGAAATCCGCCAACAAAATGGTGAGGAAAATCTCCGGTTAGTGGGTTTTCGGATAGTCAGTTCTTGGAAGCGAATGCTACCAAGGCCTCGGTGGATAGGCCGTTCTACCTAGGAGTTTTATATGCCAACGCTCGTAGCCTAAGAAATAATTTCTATGAGCTAGGAGCATTATTGGACAGATTAAGGTCACTCATTGTAGCAGTGACAGAGACTTGGTTAGTCCATGACTTCGACATTACTCCAGAACTATCGGGATACCATTACCTAAGGAGTGATAGACATAGTTGTAGAAAAGGAGGTGGCGTCCTGTTATATATATCCAATAATATAAATATACGCTCCTTTGTTAGCGAATCCCATGACAGCAGTACTTGTGAAATTATTAGCTGTAAATTGGATATCGGATGTAGTACGTTTATGCTCGGTGTCATCTATCGCAGCCCAATCTGTTTAGCCGATGACTTTATTCTAGAGCACATTCATCTTTGGAGTACCAATACCAGGTGCTTGATAATAGGAGACTTTAATGCACCTAACATTAGTTGGACTGAAATGACCACAGAAGGATCTATAAACTCCTTTGATAATAGGTTCCTGATAACAATAATGGAGCATGCATTAGTGCAGCATGTATCCAAACCTACACGTTTTGGTGCTAACCAAGGTTCTTCTCTGTTGGACTTGGTAATCACTCATGATACTGAAAATATTGTCGACCTAAATGTTCTCCCACCGTTAGTGAACAGTGATCACGCTGTTTTGTCCTTCTCGTTTAGAACTAGGGACATGTTATACGATCAGGTCACAGCCCGCCCAAATATATGAAAAGCTAACATATCAGCCATTCAAGAATGCGCTGCTAAGACAGATTGGTTTGTAGATACTAGCTTATCAGTTGAAGAAGTATGGTCTGTATTTAAAGGTAAGTTTAGTTTAGTTACGTCATCGTTCATACCATACCTGATACCGCGAAGACCGAACAATAGTCCACCATGGATAACCAAACCAGTTAAGAAATTTCTTAGGAGAAGGAAGAAGCACTGGAATGTTCATCTCTACGGGCTTAGAACAATACCGATCCAGTTATTGTAAGACTAGGAATGCCTGTAAAGCTTTAATAAGTAAGACTAGACGATCATACGAAAAGCAATTGGTTAGGGATTCTAGATATAGTCCGAAACGGTTATTCTCGTATATAAAAAGGCGAACTCAGAGAAGTGATGGAATTCCATCACTTTTGATACAAGAAAATCCGTTAATCTTGGCAGAGAATGATACAGAAAAAGCTGAAGCTTTATCGAAATATTTCAGTAAAGTGTTTTCTGTCACTAATGAGGAACGACCAACGATTCATTATGACCGTAACGGCTCGCTGATGGATCTTGTGGTCATTGAGAAAGGTACTGTTTTAAGGCTACTTCAGCATATCAAACCTGATAAGTCCAGTGGTCGTGATAATATTCATCCTAGGATTATGAAAGCCATATCAGACGTAATTGCTGAACCATTGGCGATACTGTTTGACATGTCTCTGAGCAGTCCAGACTGCCCAGAGACTGGAAAGACACTATAATAAGTCCGGTGTATAAGGCTGGGAGTAGGGATTTAGTTAGTAACTATAGACCCGTTAGCTTAACGAGTGCAGTTGTAAAACTGATGGAAAAATGCATTCGGATATCTGTTATAAGCTATGTTGAAAGGCATAATATTTTCTCCAGGGAACAACATGGTTTTCGGAGAGGCCTATCGTGCTTGACATATCTTCTCATCGCAAGAGAAGATTGGGCTGCTGCAAAAGATCAGAATATTCCAGTAGATGTGATCTTCATAGATCTTAGTAAGGCTTTCGATAAGGTCTCTCATTCTGGTCTTAGACTCAAACTGGAACTCTTCGGAATCCATTATACAGTCGTAGATTGGATAAGTAACTTTCTCCATGACAGCAGACAAAGGATAAGGGTAAATGGGACTCTTTCCTCGTGGGTACCTGTGAAAAGTGGAGTTCCCCAAGGTACAATCCTCAGTCCTCTTCTCTTTTTACTTTATGTAAATGAATTACCAACTGTAGCAAAATCGTCCGTTCTACTATTCGCTGATGACATAAAAATTTGGGGACCCATACACAGTATGTCAGATAGAATAGTATTGCAGAATGATCTTAGCTCATTGGTGGCATGGTTAGACAGGTGGTCACTTGAAGTAAATCCCAATAAGAGTGTGGTGATGCAATTAAATAACAATGATGAATCGTATCACTATACAATACGTGGATTCTTACTACCCAAAGTAAGAAACTATAAAGATTTGGGAGTCATATTAAGTAGTGATCTCAAAACCACTAGTCACTGTAAGGCTGCTGCTGCAAAAGGCTATAGAATATTATGGTCTATTCGTAGGTCTTTTCAGTATTAGATGACGAAATGTTTAGATTACTATACCCGATTTATGTGCGACCACATTTAGAATATGGAATTCAAGCAGCGAGTATTTGTTTCAAGTATGAAGCAGATATGCTAGAGCGAGTCCGACGACGAGGTACTAAGATGGTACAAGGTCTCTCTGGACTATCTTTTGAAGACAGATTGAGACACCTCAACTTATTTCCGTTATCTTACCGCCGAATACGGGGTGATCTAATATTGGCTTATCGTATACTGAACGATGACCTTGGTATTAACATGTCTTATCTTATACTTCCGTTTAGGACTGATCGTTTGAGAAGACACTCGAAAAAATTCAAAAACCGAGATCAAATCGTTTACGTCTGGAGTTTCGTTTCTCTCATCGAGTAGTGAACTATTGGAATTCTCTACCGGAACACGTAATATCAGCACCTTCTGTTGATATATTCAAGACGAGATTGGACCTCCACAGTATTACAAACTGCAAGGATTAATACAGGTCGATAGACCTACTATCCTTATTACTGAAGACTGAAGACTGAATGAAACTGTTGAAGATTATGTGGTAAGTTCTTCCGCCTAACTGGCCAAAATTGCGCTTCAATGTTACCAGTGCCAGGTTTGTTCGAAAGGCATTTTTGTCACAGTTAGCGTAAGACTTCAAATCGTAGGCTACCAGCACTCCCAAAATCTTTTTCAACTTGGGATACTTCTAGAAGGGAGTTGCCTAAGTTGTAG